ACAAGAAAACAGCTGATGCTACGCGTGGGTTAGGGGTTAGTTCTTGCAGGTGCATTTGGGGAAAAGGGTGGGCACATCCACGTGGTGCACTCACTTATCACCGACTTTTAAGTGTTTCACGTATTTTGCTGTATTCACGGTTTGCAGTATTTTTAATAAAACCTATTCGCAACAGAAACAAACATCAAAAGTTCATAAAACAATTAGGAATAAATGCAATAGGAAAGGTATGGGCAATTACTGAGAATTAGTAAAATACCCCTGAAAAGCATTAGGATTCTGGTCACCACTTCCAAGATATGGGGTTACTCCCCACACCACCAAGCAATTTGCAGACACCATCTGGGTGTCCTATAATCCAACTCAGTTCTGACCTATCTACCTGTGATGGGGTTTTGGAATATAAGTGAGGTTCAGTGTGGTGAGGTCCGGAGCCAACGACCAAGAAAGAATTCTTGAGATTCTTTGGTGCAAACGGTGGTTTATTAAGCACAGGGACAGGACCCTTGGGCAGGAAGAGCTGCTGCCCGGGGGTTGTGAGGAGTGGCTGATTATAGACATGGGGTTGGGAGTGGTAAGGAAAAAGGAAGGTTTCAAAGGATTTTCATACGTTAAGGAAGACTTACAGGATACCAGAGGTCTCGCCATTGTCAAGTTAAGGTCGTTTTCCCCTATAGCAAGGTATTAACAGCAAGATAGTTGGGAGCTTCCTGGAGGAACACTACACTCTGCCCCCTTCAAGTATCTGCCAATGGACCGCAGGTTATAAGGACATTTAATTGTATTTACATTCCCTTCTGGAAGCTATTGCTAAGGCTTTTGTAAGTAAACTGAGGGAGACTCGTCTCTTGCAGGATTGTGATCTCTGTAAATTAACTATTTGTTTTTCCTTTAGGGCAGCCGGGAGTGCCCGAGGAATGTCACATATATCCCATGGGGGGTGTTGTGGGGTGTCAGCGTCTGCTTTGTCCTCAGTTTCCCTTCTGCTCTCTCACCACCTGGACATGGCGTCAGATCCCCCAGGGCTCAGCCCTACAAGACGGCCCTTCACCCCTTGGGTCAGACGCCAATCACAAATCCAGGTTGACACCCGTGGTTCTGACCCACCAGCTACAGATCAGACATTCCCAGGACCTCCTCCTCGGGTTACAACGATCTGCTAGAGCGACTCACAGAGCCCAAGGAAACGTGTTACTCACTAGATCACGGGTTTATTATGAAAGGCTGTAGCTCAGGAACAGCCAGATGAAGTGATGTATGGGGCCAGGTGTGGGGGGAAGGGCGTGGAGCTTCCATGGTCTCACCAGGTGCACCCCTCTCCCCAAACCCCTATGTGTTCCCAAACCCAGAAGCTCTTCGAACCCTGTCCTTTTCATTTTCTAGAAAGGGAGACTATATTGCAGAGGCATGATGGATTAAATCATTGGCCACTAGGGATTGAGTCAACCTCCAGCGCCTCTCCTCTCCCTAGAGGTCAGGGGGTGGGGCAGAAAGTGCCAAGCTTCTAATCACGTGGTTGGTTCCCCTGGCAACCAGCCCCATCCTTGGGGGCTTTCCAAAAGCCACCTCATTCACATAACAGAAGAAACCTCCATCACTCTCCTCACCGGAAATTCCAAGGATTTTAGGAGCTCTCTGCCAGAAACAGGACTAAGACCAAACATATATTTTTATTGTAAGTCACAAAATCGCAAGCATCAAGAAAGAAACAAGCGAAAGGAAAGACAACTTATTCTCAGACAAAAAATATCACTCTGTGAAATCTCAATGTCCCCACACCAAATTAAGTTATAAATCCCTCCCAATTAAGTTTTGTTCTAATGGTTATCCTATCCTATTCTATTTTATCTTATTCTATTCTACGCTACTCTATTCTACTCTACTCTATTCTACTCTATTCTACTCTATTCTATCTTATCCCAGCCTATCCTATCCTATTCTTATTCTATTATTTCTTATTCTATTCTATTCTATTCTTCTGTCTTTTTTTTCTATTATTCTGTCTTATTCTATTCTACTCTACTCTATTCTACTCTATTCTATCTTATTCTATTCTGTCTTATTCTATTTTATCCTTTGTTAGTCTAGCCTATCCTATTCTATATTATTCTATTCTATTCTATTCTATTCTATTCTATTCTATTCTATTCGAATCTACTCTATTCTATTCTATTTTACTCTATTCTATCTCATCCTATTCTATCCTATCCTATGTTATTCTTTCTTATTCAGCTCTATTCTATCCTAGCCTAGCCTATTTTACTCTCTCATTCTTTCTTTCTTTTTTCACTTGATTTGTTAATTCAGTTAATTTCTTTTTTCTATTTTTTTATTATGTTATGTTAATCACCATCTCATTCTTTCTCATCCTATCCTATGCTATTCTACCTTATTAATTCTTACCCTATCTTATGCTATCCTATTCTGTCTTATTCTATCTTGTTCTACTCTATCCTATTCCACTCTATTCTATTCTATTTCTCTCTGTTCTGTTCTATTCTAAAAAGCTGGCAACAGCCTAAATGTAGAAACACAGATAGATTGGATGAATAAACATATATACCCTCATCAACAACTGTGTTTTCTTCAAATTGCAAATCATCTAAAAGTTGATGGGGGGGGCGGGAAATAATCAGGGCAAAGAGAGAAGGAAGCTAAGAAAAGGAAGCCATGGGGGTGGGGGAGGCATCGCCAGAGCAGAAGGGCGAATTCAGAACAGACGGGAACATGCAGGTATTTAGAAAAGGAGAGCCCTTCCCCTCCAGGATCAGTAGAGAAGACCAGCATCAGTCCCTGCAAACACCATCCAGACTGACGACGGATCCGGTTCTAACAAGTAAAAACACCAGCGGCGGGGGAATTTCTAAACAGGACTTCAGCCCAGGAACCTGGGGAAGTCTCAACAACACAACAGAACGAAACTCAACCTCTTGAGAGAACTGACGACCAATTTTAACGCCTGTGACTAGATTTTGGCTCAAAGTACCCCATCGGAGACCTTAAGTGACAAGAAATTCGGGGGCGGGGAGATGTGCAACATGACATACATGGTTAAATATCCCTAATTATATAGATTTTTTTTTTTCTGAGCCAGCAGCTCCCCATGGGGTGGGGGAGGGGGGAAGGGAGAAAGGAAGTGCATAAGGAATTCATTGAAAAAGTCATGTCCATAAAGAGGATTTGGATTTTAAGCAGAGCCGAAGAGGGGAGCTCTGACATGGAGGAAGGATCCCCTGGTCATGCAGATGTAATTACATCCGGTGGCGGCCAGATGCCGGCACCCCATTGCACATGATCATTCCCATTTGCCAGAATCTGGGTTCCGGTGCTGGCCCCAAAACGCTGGTGAGTGGAGAGCCCAGAGGTGGGGAATTCACAGCAAACGCTATCCCGCCCTCCACGACTCTGGACCGCGTCATTTCTAATCTTTGTGAACCCGCTGCAAGGAGGAAATCAATACCGTCCCCTCGCCAAGACCCTGGAAGCCGGACGATGCGCCCGGGTCCCACAGCTGGGCCAGCATTCCCCCATAGAAACAGGACGGCAGCAAATGAACAAGGAATTGTTCCAAGAAGCAGGATTCCTGTGCAGTAAACACGGGATCTTACTGATCATTAAAAAAAAAAAAAAAAGGGCAAATTTAAATGTGACCACATATCCAAGCACGAAATATAAAAATATCAAGAGACTAATGATGTAATGTATGGTGATTAACACAACATAATAATTAAAAAAAAAAAAAAGAAGAGAAAAAATATCAAGAGAAAAGGGTTGGGGATACAAGATTTTAAAAGTGCATATCCTGTGGGTGACTCTCTCTTTTGGAGAAGTTATTCTAAAGAAATAATCCCAGAAACAGCAAAGTGTCCACCTCTGAAATTACAAGGGTGTGCGTGCACCACATTGGGCTACTTGGGGGTTAAATGTGTGTACAAGGGCGTTTTGGGCAGACTGTGTCTTATACAGAGATGGGCTGGACGTTAATTTTTGTTATGGTTATTGCATTTATGGGGGGAAAAGGGAAAACAATCTGTATTGTCACAAAAAGGAAGGTGGATACAGAAACGGAAATGCCCACATGATCATCCCTGGCCCTCACTCCACCTGGGGGAACACGGATTGGGAAGGATGAAGGTCAAATCAGAAGCACCAGCGAGCTCCAACAGGTGGGATTCGGGGTGGCTTGTAACGCCTCGTTTCCACGTTGTGCAGAAGGCAAACTATCTGCGTGGGGGCAGGTGCATGTCAGGGACCCTCTGCATCTCTGCAGGATGTACTTGCTGGCCTTGGCCCCGCCTGTCACCTGCTTATGCGCTTCTCCCACAATGGGAGTATCTCGTCTTTGAGCAAAACCTCTGCCATCACCCCGTGGGACGCCCGGGACATCTGGGAGGACCACACGAGTCCTGCAAGGAGCGTTTTGTGCAGCTCCGTGTTGGCAAACTAGCGGCAGCCTGCATCCTCCTGGTAGGGATGCTGAGGGATGCAGTCAGACCAGGCTCCTTACAGGCACAGGTGTGCAAAGCATGTCCAAATCCCCGAACCAGGGGGAAAGCAGAGCCAAAAACACACACGCTCTCACTTTGGGAGGCTGAGGTTGCCCTTCCCACGCCCTTGCAGAAAGCAAAGGTCGCCAGGACTCAGAAGCAGAACCCAGGCAAGGGGTCTTCCTTGAAGGAACTGCATTCTGCAATCAACCAGACTTTGATTCAGAAACGCGTGCGTGACGTGGGAGTCTCTGGTGGTGGCACAGAGCTGAGCCCTGTCCTTGGTCCCCAAGTCTACTTTCTCCTTCGCAGAAAAAAACACCAACAAATGCTCGAATACGCACACGGGGAGGCCCTGCTGCTGGCTTCCGACGTCAGCGACCCGGGACGCCGGGATGCTCACGCTTCGGACTGCTGGCCCAACGGCGTATTAAGTGGCCTCGAGGTGGCCGCCTGCCCGTGGGGCCGGGGACCTCAGAAGTGGGCACAGCCGAGCAGCCGCGGGAGGCTTACCTTGAAAAACCACCAGCCGAAGAGCTTCTTGATGAGACGCGTGCCCCAGAAGACGTGTTTGTAGAGGTCTGTGTTGACCACCCCAGGGTCGACCACGTTGGCGGTCACGGGGCTCCCCTGGGCGGCCAGCAGCCTCTGCATGTGGTACGTGAACAGGACAAGGGCCAGCTTGCTTTGGGCGTAGGCGCCGTGCGGAGAGTAGCAGTGACTGTGGAAGCAAAGACGGACATGTGTCAGACACCGATGCTTTCCTCACCTGCATGGTCCCTACCTGCCCAGGGCGCTACCTGTCTGGGTCCCTCACCTGCTGGGGTCCTGCACCTGCCCGGGACCCTACCCACCCAAGTCCCTCACCTGCCTGGGTCTCTACCTGTTGAGGTCCCTATCTGCCTGGGTTCCTACCTGCCCAGGTCCCTCACCTGCCAGGGTCCTTCACCTGTCCAGGTCTCTCACCTGCAGGGTTCCTACCTGCCCGGGGCCCTACCTATCCAGGTCCCTCACCTGCCGGGGTCCTGTACCTGCCCCGGTCCCTCACCTGCATGGGTCCCTTGCCTGCCCAGATCCCTATCTGTCTGGGTCTCTACCTGCCAAAGTCCCTACCTACCTGGTTCCTTCACCTGCCCGGGTCTCTACCTCCTGGGTCCCTCACCTGCCTGGGTGTCTACCTGCTGAGGTCCCTACCTGCCTGGGTTCCTACCTGTCTGGGTCCAGCACCTGCCCGGGTCCCTGACCTGCCCGGGTCTCTACTTGCCTGGGTCCCTACCTACCTGGGTCTCTACCTGCCCAGGTCCCTCACCTGGCTGGGTATCTACCTGCTGAGGTCCCTACCTACCTGGGTCTCTACCTGCCCAGGCCGCTCAGCTGCAGGGTCCCTCACCTGTAGGGTTCCTCACCTGCCCAGGTCGCTCACCTGTCCAGGTCCCTTATCTGCCTAGGTCCCTCAGCTGCAGGGTCCCTCACCTGTAGGGTCCCCCACCTGCAGGGTTACTCACTTGCAGGGTTCCTCACCTGCCCAGGTCGTTCACCTGTCTAGGTCCCTTATCTGCCTGGGTCCCTACCTGCCCGGGTCCCTCACCTGCAGTGTCCATGGCCTCCCACCTGCTGTCTGCCCCTGGGGTATCCTGAGGTTTGATTTCCACTCCCCGTGCACATGAGGGTTTTTGTAGTTTGCACGACAAACACGGGGCTTCATCGCCCGGGTGTTGTGCGGGCCCCTGACACGATGCGCAGAAAAGGAACGGAACGTCAACCATTTCAGCGGTTGTAAGGATGGGGCGATTCTCCCCGCCCACCTTTAACGTGAAGATGAAAACAGCGCCCAGAGCCCCGCTCGGAAAGCTTGGGAGAAGTAGGACCTGCCTGCAGGTGACTTTTAGTTTCTATTCGTTTTTCAACAGGGAAGCATGTAGTTAAGTTTCACCGTAACTATACAGACACGCACATTTGTGTCTACATAAATGTGTCAACATTGCGATCCTCGTAGCTTCATAAAGTGCTAGGATCGTCATCATAGTGTTTTTAAATAGAATTTATGTTTTTAGAGCAGTTTTAGGTACACGAGGCCGTTAACAGGCAGGTGCAGATTTCCCGTGCACCCCTCCCTGCCTCTCCCCCCATCATCAGCATCCCCACCAGACGGTGCGTTTGGTGCACGTGATGAACCCACGGCCACACAACATCACCACCCAGATGCATAGCTTAACGTGCATTAGAGTTTATTCTTGGGGGTGCACATTCTATGGATTTGGGCAAACGTACAATCACATGTATGCATCACTATGGTGTTATACACTGTAGATTCACTGTCCTAAAAACGCTCCGCGCCCCACCTGCTCATCCCTCCCTCCCCCAACCCCTGGCGACACCCATCTTTGTACTGTCTTTATCTATCCACCTGCTGAAGGACAGCTTGGTTGCCTCCAAGTTTCGGCAATCAGGAATCACGCTGCTAGAAACATCCGTGGGCAGGTTTCCGTGTGGGCGCGTTCGCAGCTCCTCTGGGTGAACCGCGAGGAGCCTGATTTCGGAACCGCATGATGAGGGCGTGTGTGGTTCTGTAAGAAACCGCCCAACTGTCCTCCCAAGTGACCGAATCATTTTGCATTCCCGCCGGGGGCGGAGGAGAGCTCCTGTCTCTTGCCGCGCTTGCCCACCAGCACGCGGTGCTGCCGGTGTCCCAGATTTCGGCCACTCACGGGCATGCCGTAGGGTCTCCCTGTTGTTTTGATTTGCGAGTTCTCCGATGACCTAGGATGTGCAAGATCTTTTCGTAAGTTGATGGTGAGATTTTCTGATCCACTGCGTGACGGACACATGGGTGCTTGGCTGTCCACACGTGACCAGCACATCGCCGCCCTCAGGGACTCGGTCCTGCCTCCTGCCATTCCCCGGGAAGCAGGTTTTTCTCCCCAGAAACTTGACCTCACAGTGTGGCCTTCGTGCATCCTCCTGTCATGGGAGCCCACGTGCAAAACCCAAGGTTTGCCCACAGGGAGTCCACCCAATTTTTGCTGCAAAACGGACCCCTGGTTCCTCTGTCTTAGGGGACCGGTGCAGGGGGGCAGGTCAGCAACTGTCACCGGATGAACTTGCCAAGGAGCATTGCCCCAAAGAATTCTAAACACGGCTTTTTTTTTTTTGGAGGGAGGGATTCAGAGAAAAATATAGGGCAGTTCAGAGTCCAAACTCCCTCCCTGACACAAGACAAGCCGCAACCCTCCAATTATTGTCAAGAGATTGGTTTTTTGGCAAATTTCTCCTGTCTGCTTCCCGTAGGGGAGGGGAGAAGGCTCCAGGAAATGGGGAGTGATTAAGTGCAGGGAATTCAATGCCCAGTTTCATCTTGGCTTCGGGCCATGGGGACGCTAGCCTTGAATGCCACATTCTCAGCATTGCTTGGTTCGGGCCCTTAACGGGTGAGAAACATCAATATGCCCATTTCCCCAGCGTAAACCGATGCGGTCTATGACTGCGGTTTTATAGGGTAGCACGGAGAAGGAAGAACCAAAGATCGTTAGAAATACTAAATGGAGAAAAAGTGAATATGTTTCTCTACGGCAGGGAGGAAGAAAGTCCAAGAAGGAGGGGGATTTCAGGAGAGGTTCCCCTGGCGGATTTACAGATAAAGAAACATCCACAGCGGAAATGGGAAGGAATCAGAGCAAATGAACAGGAGGACGTGATCCCCCCACTGAGGTTTCCTAAATAAAACCCCAAGGACTAGAAAGGCACTTGGCATGGAAAACAATGAAGACATTGAAAGTTAACAGATAAAAGGGAGCAGAAACACAGAATCAAATTACTATTCTCACTGCGTGAGGATAAACGAACTAATTTAGGAAATGGCTGCATGGCTCGGTACTACACGGAATTTTTACTTCGTTGCTTTTGTAGTAAGGGGTGTCAGAAAGTAGAACCCGAAGCCATAAACATAGATCTTTATTTTCAATAAATAAAAAACCTAATGGTGTAATGACTTAAAGAATAATTTGAAGGTCGATCTGAAACAAAAGTTAGAGACGGTAATGTGGTAGCCTTTTAGAGGGGCAGCAAAACTTTTCTCCCATACTTTTGTGTTCTGTCCCTGAGGGCTGCAAATTAAACTGAGAACTGCCACATTTACAGAGGGAAATCATGCCAATTTTATTTTTAACTTTACATGTATGGCAGTCTTCATAGAAAAGAAGTAAAAACCCCAAAGACACCATTAGACTTGGGTTTATATACTATTTAACAATGCTTCGTAAATTGGGGAGGGGTGAGGAGACAAAGGAAAGGGGGTTTGGGCTTCCAGAGGTGGTAAATTGTGAAAATGTTAATATATATACATATATATATTTTAGTATATGTGTATATATACATACATTATATATATTAGTATTATATTAGTACATGCATATATATTAGTATATTAGTATATATATTAGTATATGTATATATTAGTATATATTAGTATATTAGTACATGTATATATATATTAGTATGTATGTATATATATACTAACTTCAGTACTTTTTGTGACTTTCTTTGAAGTTCTGCTTTTAATCAGATCTGGCAAGACCAGCATACACCTGTCTACACCACATCCGTCAATATACTTTCTATGTTGTTTCACGGGTTATTTAACGGCTCCCACACCAGCAGTCAGTCCTCCTTCTCAGCAGAGCTGCCCTATGCTGCAACATCAGTATCTCATAGAACTATTATCATCCCGCTCCGTCCTAGAAAACCATGCACCTTCTGTATTAATTTAACTGTTCCAGAAGGAGCGGGTTTCCTGAAGTCCCCCCACTATGCCAGAAATTGTGCAAAGGACCATGGGATTTATCAGACAATATCTTGAGCCATTGGAAAACACAATCTAGGATGCCTGGGTGGCTCAGTCGGTTAAGCGACTGCCTTCGGCTCAGGTCATGATCCTGGAGTCCCAGGATCGAGTCCCGCATTGGGCTCCCTGCTCGGCGGGGAGTCTGCTTTTCCCTCTGACCCTCCCCCTCTCATGCTCTCTCTCTCTCATTCTCGCTCTCAAATAAATAAATAAAATCTTTAATAAAAAAAAAGAAAAAACACAATCTATTGAGTTTTCTTATTTCAACAAAACACACGTGTCCCTGAATTTGCATATCGTTCATGGTATTTGCAGCCCATGTTTTCAGCTCATCGTATACAACTTAATTCTCTCCTTGCAGTTGGAGATCGTGAAGTGCCAGCCGACGCTGAGAGTTTATTACAAGGAAGGAGGTCTTCCTTTATTATGTTGACGGATGCTGTGCCCTGTGTGAGTCACCGCTCAATGCCTACCATGCTGGCCTTGCGGACGGCTTCCTTTTATTACGGATCCGCAGGGAGTATTAGCCGTCATGATCTGTCCGCTGGCCTCCGATAAATGCGTGTGCAGAAGACAGCACAACCAAGGGTGTCATGCTCGCGTCATATTAATCAGCTGCATTATGTCCCTTCTGGGTCATTAATGCATAAGTGCATGACCAACAGTGATGGAACGTCTGCCTGCTACCGTGAACCCGGGTGCTCACTGGGTCCGATAATGAGCAGCCTCTCCGGGAGCAGGGATGAACGGCACCTGCTGGTAGGCAAATAACCTCTCATCTCCAGATACAAGCTTTCCCGTGGTGAGACGGACACATGCCTGACCCCTGGTTTTCCACGTTTCATATTCCAGAGGACTATGGAAATATACGGTGGCCAGGA